AACGAGGTTGATCCCTATGAAGAAGTCTGTCATAACAAAGAAGGTTGTTCGCTTCTTTGCGGATAACTGGGGCTGGGATTTTGGATTTCCCTCAGGGACACTCCAGTCACGAGTACATTCGGCAGAATCTGACGGAATCCGTCAACACCAAACTCGACATGAGTTCCGCCCACCACCCGGAGAGCGATGGTCGGACCAAGCGAATGAATACAACCGCACAACAAACCCTCCAACGTCTAATACAGCCTGATCAGATTGACTGGAACGTACACTTGGCCAAGGTAGCAGATGTTTACGACAATTTTGTGCGCCCTGCAACTGTGCGTATGCCTGCTGAGCTGCGACATGGATGGATCCCTCGCATGCCTGTGGGCTTTCTGGACCCAGACCCGCAGCTCGAGCACCCTCCTCGCACGACGGAGTTCACCGTACAGTTTGCTGAAGAACTCCGGGCCAACACACTATCAGGAGTATGCAAAAGACACAACAGGCGACGACTGATCAAGCCGATAAGCACCGCCGCACTTCTGCCTTCGAGGAAGGAGACACGGAATGGGGGGGAATGGACGAGTGTGCAGTATTTTTTTTTTTTCCCAACGAAAACACGCCCCCATCAGTGCTAGTGGTGGACGAGCGTGCAGTCTAAGAAGGTGTTTGCAGAAAACTGCTGCTACCTAAGTCGTGCGGACCTTGGAACATATTGCATGTCGTTGGTGACGAGCCAGACGGGACCTCCTGCCCTCGTGGACATACGTCCACATCTGAAGACATATCCTGTGTTTCACGCCTCGAACCTTGCAGGCAGGAGGAAGACACATCCTCCCACCATGGATGGATATGCGGACATTGATAGAATCGTGGAGCAAAGGCCGGTGCGACAGCGAAGAGGAAGACCTGACATCGTCTACAGAACAGGGTCAAATTCAAGTAGTACCCTGATGACGAGGAGGACGGTGAATGGTTCGATTGCACTGAGCTAATGCAGACGACACCTCAGATAGTTGCTCGACACGAGAGGCAACTTCGGGAGAGTAAAAACCTCACCAGTTGGTTCTGGAGCCTGCATTCTTCAGATGTCTTGTTATGCAGACTCCAATTTACATTTCCCATTTCTTTTTTTTTTCTTAAAAATAAAAATAAAAATTTCACAGGCACCCTCTATTCTGGGGGACAGCAGTTCGGTTACTTGTCACCAGCAAGCATATTTGTACATCCACGAGAAGAAGGGGGAGAATACGAGTGAAAGAGTCGGCCTATCCCTTGCAGGCCTACGTAGCCGTCTACAAGGGGGGACCGGCTACAGGGCGTCCCTTCCCCCCAATCCCTGAGGAAGGGGGGGCTGCCCTGC